CGGAATTCTGGGAGTTGAAGTCCACTCATCTTAAAGTGGCCAAGTTTGGACAACACTGCTCTAAAAAGAATAGATGGGATGCTGTTTTGCCCACATGGACTAGGCAAGCCTTAGTCTGATCCAATGTGGTTTTTCTTACATTCTCGTGGATGCAGTTTCATTCACCCAATAGTATACTGGATTCAGACTTGGGGTATCCCTATTTCTCTGAACATGCATTTGATTTGCTTCCTTTTCTAGCATCATTCCTATTTCTGCCATAATAATTGACATTTTATATTTTGTTTAGGTATCAGTTAAAAGCCAGGCATTTGGAATTAAAAGTATTGAACCCCTATTCTGACATTTCAAAATGTCTTTTCCAAATCTGACCCGTATTACTAAAGCGTAGCAGACGTAACATTCTATGCTTGTTCTCCAGACAAAACGGTTGGTGTGTTCCACCTGCAGTCTCCTGCAGGAAAGTACAATTTCGCCTATGAAGAGGCTGAAGCCAGCTGTGCAGCTGAGGGAGCTACCTTGGCCACTCTCCAGCAGCTGTCTGCTGCTCAGCAGGTAACAAGGCAGCTCAGTGACGTCAGTTCATTTTGTCCCTCAGGTTTTGATCTGTGCTAAGAATCACACTAGATGTGCTTTCCGGGGTGCGCTTTGTCTCCTTCATTTGAAGAAGCATTCACTCTCCCATTGGGTGAAGTCTCACTTTCTCAGCTGCTTCACATTGGGACCCCAATTCTTTTTTTTTTTTAGATTTTTATCCCGCCTTTTTTTTCATATGCACCTCATAGGTGACAAACATACCTCCTTCCTCCCCCTAGGGAAGTTATCCATTTCTTTCTTTAAACAAAAAGTGAATGACTCAACGTGAGGAAGTGAGTGTACTTGTTTTTGTACCATGAGATGCTGGCAGCCACATTTGGCACACGGGCACTGTGAAAATGGCGTGCAGAGGAAATGAAATGCTGCCTCTAACAGGCTAGACAGGACATGGAGTGCCACATTAAGAAAGCCACAAGTAAGCCTAAGTAAGAAGATCTTGTCAAGGTACGGACAGTCTGAAATATACAATGTTATGAGAAGCCTGCCTTTCTTTCTGTTTTTCTAGATGGGTTTCCACCTGTGTATAGTGGGTTGGCTTTTTAACCATACAGCTGGTTACCCAACTGTATACCCCAGTCAGAACTGTGGCACTCACCATGTGGGGATTGTAAACTATGGCTATCGCAACAACAGTGAAAAGTGGGACGCCTACTGCTATCGAACTCAAGGTGAGGAAACAAATGGGGTAGTAAAGGTGCCATCTCAGGTATGCCTTTCAACTGGATAGCAACTTCTACCTAACCTTAAACTTTGCCTCCGGTGCAAAGACTGCCACATTTTATTCTGACATTTGTTTTCCAGACGTAGAGTGTAACTGTAGGGAAGGGTTTATTGGAGATGGCTATTCTTGCACAGGCAGTCTTCTGGATGTGCTGGCTCAACATGCAAAATTCTCAGTCTTCTATTCAGTAAGTATTAGTAGTACCTTCATCCTGCAACCTGTAGCCTGCTTGCTGGGGATATACTTGTGAATGACTAGGGAAACACAAGTGTTAATTATAAAGATTATGCTGCCTTTTTAAAAAAAAATATAACCATGAGTGATGACTATTCCTTCCTTCAAACCTGGTCCAGATACATCTATGTTTGGCAGTCTACTATGCCAAGTAAGTGCTCTGAATCCAGAGTAAACAAAATCCCTCTATATTTGGGAGCTTTGGGGAAAAAATATTTATTCAGACCAAAAGTTAGCAACATGTAAGTAAACATTCAGTTAATGCTGACTGCTTTTCAAATCTTTCTGAATTTGAAGTAATCTTAACAGACTGAATCTGGGTTCTGTTTTTGATTCTTCTTATAACATTCAATGTATTATTTCTAGCGTTACATATTCTTACTACATATTGATTTTAAAATGTATGCAAAATGCAGCTTGAACTTCTGGTGAGATGGGTGGCAATATAAATTTGATAAATAGATAAACCTTCTCTGTTGTTTCACTATTTCCTCCCATTTGTTTTAGACTGATCTGTACCTCACTTGTATCTCTTGCAGAAGAAGCCTGAAATATTAGATATTTCCTCACGGGTGGGATAGATATGTTTGTTTTTAACAAAACCAATTTGTGCAACCTTTTTGAATGCTTCATAGCCATGTCTCACTACTCAGATGAAATACCAGAATTAAAAGAACTCTGTTCAACTATTCCTGAAAGGATCAAGCACCTGTCTTTTATTTCTTCAAAGTGAAAAAATATGCTACATTGAAAAGCAAGTGGTAGACTTAAGTTCTGTTCTGTCCAATTGCTGATATCAGCCTACTTTTACTCAAGAACAGGACACTATTTTCCAAATCCCCCACAGTTTGGGGTGGGGTGGGGGAACTTGCATATTTGCTATTCCTTGTAGGAGCTATTTGGAAATGCTCCCTTTGATAGATCTGAGTTGGATATAGTAATACTCCTGGTTAATCATGGTTTCATTTCTCTTTTTCAGATAATTCTGGATTATGCTAATACCACTCGGGAAGGAGAAGATTTTTTAAATTTCCTCTCTGCAGACATCACTTATAAAACTCTTTTTGTACCCTTGAACTCTGGCTTTGGAGATAATACAGTAAGGACCACAAAATGGACACTGGTGGTGCAGTTTTAGTTGGAGGGGTGAATAATTTTGTGCCATTTCAAAAAAAACAAGGAATCATCAAATATAAATTGAGTCAAGCTAATACCTTTGATGTGTTGCAAAACAGACTAATAGTACAACTTATATGAGTTTACACAGAAATAAATCGTAAAACCATTAGTCGCAGTATAGCAGGAAATTCAGATTCTTTTAAAGCAACTCCACAAGAAGATAATGGATAAGCAGATATTCCATTTTCACATGGAATCCTAGTAAGTTTAGCTTTATGATGGAATAGCAACTGGAAGCACAGAATTCTTACAACTTTCTCCAAATTTTTAAGAGTTTGGGTACTCTGGGGAAGCAATGACAGCTAAACTATAAATGAAGTAGGTTTATTGTGTTCATAGTAAGTCAAAATATCCCAATGTGGGCTTTCAATTCAGTTGTATTTCATGTCTTAGTAAAAGCAATGACATTAGATGAGCATACAGAACCTGTACATGCATCATTTAAACATGAATGATGGCATTACCAAGAAAGAACACTGAGGAATAGTATCAGATATAATCCTGATAGAGCTCCAGACTATCCTCTGAACTTTCTGCCTTAAACAAAAGAACACTTAAATCTGGTAATGATCAAAGAGACAGGGAAAGTGTCTTAAGGATTTTGTTTAGGTTTTTTGATTACTAAAGTTGACTCCCTGTGAGAAAAAGGAGAGAAATTCTCATAACATGCCAGTGCAGGGAAATCCTACATTACATTAGAATTTCTCAAATTTGTAGACCGATATGCTTATGCTACTCTGTGGGCTTCACTTGAGTAAAAAGAAATATGCTCAGCCTCAAGAAAAATGCAAGAATAGAGCAGTCCTGAACTGCCTTCTATTTAAAATACCAATGAGCTCTTTGTTCTCACTTTCTCTTTTTACTCTGAAAAATTGATGATCCTTTTTACTATAAGTGTGGAAGTTGCCATTTTCCCCTATAGGTTCCTGGGCAACTTTGTTAGGCCTTTGATCCTTTCATTTATGACTGGCCTACAAGTTTACAATCGCATGACAGCAACCAGTGTAGTGAATGGGTCCACTATAACTACATGGCCCAGCACTTTGTTTTTCCCCTTCCCCATCAGTTTGTGCAGGCTAAATGCACATATGATGGACTCACTGTTAGGTACAGAGGGTTGAATAAAGTCTATAGTCATTCAAATAGGTGGCATACAGATAATTCGATGCAATGCAGTGCAGTGCAATGCAATATCATATAATGCAATTGGCTTCCTTCTCATCAGTAAGATAACTTTTTGAGCTGTATCTTGTGTTTATTTTACCAGTCTTTATCACTGAAGGACCTAAAACTTCACACATCAGTGAGTGACGTTGTCCTCTTAAGCTCCAATCTCACCGCTGGTACAATTATACCTTCCCAAGCAGGATACAATCTTTCCGTTGCAGAGTCATTGAATCATACTTTTCTCATTGTAAGTATCAATTCTCCTTATGCAGTCTCTTAGCCATGAACTTCTGTGCCTTATCTCTTTGGATAATACTGAAACAGTAGTGGATTTGTAGCATTCTTTAAGCCTTAAACACTTTGAATTACAGCACGTTTGTGGTGAATGATAAATTAATGCTCTTTTGCTCACTTTTATTGCACTAGGTTTCTGAACTGATTAACAATACAGTGATTGTTGAATGGGATATTCTGGCCTCCAATGGAATTATTCATGCTATTCAGAGCCCTTTGAAGGTACCTCTGCAGTATAATCAGGTTAGTTACCAGTTTCTTTTCTTTCAGAAAGATCTCTTTTGCATTCCTTTCTTCTCTGTTTTATGAATAAAGATCTGAATAGTATTCTACAAGTTGTACTGAGCTTCGCAAATTATGAGTCCAAATTATTTTTTTAAAAAATGGAAAATTGTCACTCTTAGTCTGTATCATTGCACATAAATGTTAGCGCCACATAGACACAGAACTTTCCAGTTCCTCCTCCCCACTTCAGAATTTGCTCTTCCCCAGGTTGGTAGTGATCATAGGTTATCTAAAATGGCATGGTGGAGGTGCTTTTTTCCTGAAGCAGAAAGAATCTTCTACTAATAAATACTAATGCTAACTAATAAAGTACATTTTTGGAGCAAAGGTAATATGATAAGAGAAATAATACGTTCTCCCTGAGCTCCATATTGGTTCATAAAACTGTTTAAGATGCAACATAATTATGAAAGGAGGTGGTAATAACTGAAAACTGAGAGTAGTTATGGAAATAGAGGCAGTGGAGGAAGAGTCTTCACCTCTTTGGGCATCAGACACCTCTTCTAAACATGACTAAATCTCATGACATTACCAAATCTTGTGGGGTTTCAGTGATTTATTCCCAGGTTTTCATGGAGTTCGATGAAAAATAGTATTAAAATGCTCAAATATTGTGAGATTTACCACTTTAAAATAGTTTTATTTTTATGTAATTTAGGGGGCCTCTGGGTACCACTTTAGGGTAGTGGGTGCCAAGTTGATGTTTATAAAGGATGGAATAGATCTATTTGCCCTTCATTGATGCTGTTCCCAAAAAGTTCACACTATTTCATTTCTTGCTCTTCTAGGGACAAAGGAGCAATGTGTCACTAACCACTGAAACATTCATCATCCCTATGATATAGTCTCTATATTTCCTATAAAAATATAACATTGCACTTTAGAAAACAGTGCCTTTGTAATTTAGCATCCTGGAACTGAATTACACTCTCAAAGCACATGTTTCCTTGCAGAATTAGCACACAACTAGACACAATGACATAATCCTTTGGAGACATTGTTACCAGTCTAATTTAAACAATATCTACAAATTAGGTTGCATACAATTTCCCCCAAAGTCAGGTGAACCTTTCATGTTGCTTTTTCACTCTAGACAATGTGAAATGTTAGTGGAGAAAAACAAAATAATAAAGAAGTATTCCAATGGTGCAGATTGTGAATAGTCATGCAGACTATTTTATGTATATCTATTTAAATACAGTTATACAAAAAACCAAAGAACCAAGGACAAAAATATCACAAGAAGTCTAGTTTTTATTTTCCTTTGTCTTTTTAAAAAATCTTAGCTATAATATTAGGAATGTTTGAAAAACACATTCCACATTCAAATTCAGCAGAGTCTTCTTTTTAATATCAGGTTGTGCCTTGTAGATATTTTGCTATCCTGAGCTACATTGGAATTTAGTCTGGAGGTCCAAAAATGCCGCTTACAATAATAATTTATGATTAAGACTGGAATTAATCTTTAAGACAACTGGCTTGTTAAAATACTTCAAGACAGCACTTTCATCTAGGATCCTCTGATATGAATTAAAGATAGCATTGCTTTTTACAGGTTTTGAGTACCACAAAACCATCTGCTGCTATGACAATTGGCATAAGCACTGTTGTTGCTATAGTTCTGCTCTGTGCAAGTATTGCTGGATTGTCCTATTTCTGCCTCAAAAGGAGAAACCAACAAATCCACTTTCGCTATTTTAGGGTATGTAGAACCAAGTCTCAGCTTTGCTCATGACAACTACAGACTTTGGTGTTCTTTCAACAGAACTCATGTAGAAAGAATTCTGTAATTTTTGTTGTAATTTCATTAGTGGTTATAGAACTGCATCCAAATCAAACATCGCATTTGAAATTTTATTGTTATTACAGCCCTCTCCAGCCATGTGTCCTCCAGATCTGTTGGGCTATAACATCTGTAATTCCTACCCAACGTGAGCAAAAGTGAAAGATTATTAGCGTGGTCCAGCATCATTGAGAGAGACAGAGATTCCATATCTCCAGTTTCAAAACTACATTACTTATTCTGATCAATTTGAATTTTAGCTTTGGGTGTGTGTGTGTGTGTGTGTGTGTGTGCGTGCATGTCTGTCTGTCTGTCTGTATATAATCTTTATGTAGCTGATCTCAGAAAGTTAAACAGCGTCAAACCTAGCTAGAACTTGGATGGAGGCCACTAGATGTAGGCTGGCCTGGAAAGTTGAAAAACAGGAAGGCAATAACAAACCACCCCCATAATGTTGCCAAGGAAGTGATAGATTTGTGTGCATGCCATCCCCAGGGGTCAAGTTTGGCTTGCAGGAAATTATATTTAATAATGTAGTAATCAACTTTTTGAACTGGACTTTTCCAGCTAAAATCTCAGATTAGCTTTAAACTTCCTTGGCTAAATCACTTTCTCTCAGCTCTCTATTCAAGTTAGCTGAAACGTGCTCCATGATTTGTACTGTGTAGTTTGAAGAACAAAGTCATGCTCAGCCTGTTTGCTCATAGGCTGAATTAGACGACGATGAACCTTCCTGCCAGGAAAGGAGCCCACACTCAGTATCCATTCCAAATCCTATTTATGGAGCAGATAGCTCAATCTACGAGCCATTTGAGGTAAGATAACTGAAACATTAGTGCAAAATGTTGCTGAATACTTTCAGAGGGCAATCTATAATGCATTTGTCATCTATATGCAATCACAGGCAAATCCATGGACCCCACATTCAGAATCCTGAGTAGGGGTGGCCTATTTTAGATGGAATCTTGCTGCAGATGGGGAAAAATATTTGGACATGCCATTCCATTTTCGTTCCTCCAATTGTAACTGAAACATTAAGCTGTGTTATCTTTTGAATGCCCCTATCAAGTCCTGTACAACCGGAGGGGCTGGTCATATTTTTCCTGTCATTGGTTTGGGCTGGGTGGGGTGGGGTGGGGAGGGGGAAGATCTGGGTGGAATTTTGGACCCAAGCAGCAGGCATTTAAGGAGCATACTGCACAGTGAGGGGTATCTATAAGGTACCAACTCATGTCGGTCACACTCTGAACCAGTCACTCACTCACCTGAGCAAATCATACGGGGAAGAGTCCTTGCTCATGTCATCTGGCTGACATCCACATGGCTCACTCAGCTGTCTTTTGCAGTCCCTGAGCATCATCAACCAGTGAGATCCACATTGGAAGAGACTCCACATGTTTATCTAATCCCCGCACCACCTAAGAGGCAATGGGCTTCATCTAGCATCCCTCCCATGGCCCCTCAACCTCATTTCCATGGCCCACCTACCACCATGCATGGGCACTGATAATGCTGATAGATCCAGTCCCTGACCCATCTGGGCCAAACTTTGTGCATGTAAGATATATATTTGTGTGTTTCTGCATGTGTACACACACCCAATTATACA